GGTGGTGAGTGTGGTGGTGAGTGTGGTGGTGGTGGTGAGTGTGGTGGTGAGTGTGGTGGTGGTGGTGAGTGTGGTGGTGAGTGTGGTGGTGGTGGTGGTGAGTGTGGTGGTGGTGAGTGTGGTGGTGAGTGTGGTGGTGGTGGTGAGTGTGGTGGTGGTGAGTGTGGTGGTGAGTGTGGTGGTGGTGAGTGTGGTGGTGGTGGTGAGTGTGGCGAGTGGTGGGAGTAGTGAGTGTGGTGAGTGGTGAGTGTGGTGAGTGTGGTGGTGGTGAGTGTGGTGGTGGTGGTGAGTGTGGTGGGGTGAGTGTGGTGGTGGTGGTGAGTGTGGTGTGAGTGTGGTTAGTGTGGTGAGTGTGGTGAGTGTGGTGAGTGTGGTGGTGAGTGTGGTGGTGAGTGTGGTGAGTGTGGTGGTGAGTGTGGTGGTGAGTGTGGTGAGGTGGGGTGAGTGTGGTGGTGGTGTGGTGGTGAGTGTGGTGGTGAGTGTGGTGGTGGTGGTGAGTGTGGTGGTGGTGGTGAGTGTGGTGGTGGTGAGTGTGGTGGTGGTGAGTGTGGTGGTGAGTGTGGTGGTGGTGAGTGTGGTGAGTGTGGTGCTGAGTGTGGTGGTGGTGGTGAGTGTGGTGGTGGTGGTGAGTGTGTGGTGGTGGTGGGAGTGTGGTGGTGGTGGGGTGTGGTGTGGTGGGTGAGTGTGGGGTGAGTGTGGTGTGGTGTGGTGGTGGTGGTGAGTGTGGTGGTGAGTGGTGGTGTGGTGGTGAGGTGGTGTGGTGGTGGCTGAGTGTGGTGAGTGTGGTGAGTGGTGGTGAGGGTGGATGGTGGTGGTGAGTGTGGCGAGTGTGGTGAGTAGTGAGTGTGGTGAGTGGTGAGTGTGGTGAGGGGTGGTGGTGAGTGTGGTGGTGGGAGTGTGGTGTTGGTGGGGAGTGTGGTGGTGGTGCTGAGTGTGGTGAGAGTGGTGGTGAGTGTGGTGAGTGGTGGTGGTGGTGAGTGTGGTGGTGAGTGTGGTGGTGGTGGTGAGTGTAGTGGTGGTGCTGAGTGTGGTGAGTGGTGGTGAGTGTGGTGAGTGGTGGTGGTGAGTGTGGTGAGTGGTGAGTAGTGAGTGTAGTGAGTGGTGAGTGTGGTGAGTGGTGGTGGTGAGTGGTGGTGAGTAGTGAGTGTGGTGAGTGGTGGTGAGTGTGGTGAGTGGTGGTAGTGATAGTGAGTGTGGTGAGTGGTGGTGAGTGTGGTGAGTGGTGGTGAGTGGTGAGTATAGTGAGTAGTGAGTGTGGTGAGTGGTGAGTATAGTGAGTGGTGAGGTGGTGAGTGGTGGTGAGTGAGTGGTGGTGGTGAGAGTGGTGTGGTGGTGAGAGTGGTGGTGAGTGGTGGTGGTGAGTGAGAGTGGTGGTGGTGGTGGGGGTGAGTGAGTGGTGGTGACTGTGGTGACTGGTGGTGGTGAGTGGTGGTGAGTGAGTGGTGGTGAGTGGTGGTGGTGAGTGGTCAGTGTGGTGACTGTGGTGGAGTGGTGTGGTTGAGTGGTGGCGAGTGAGTGATGGGAGTGGTGGTGGTGAGGAGTGGTGGTGTTGAGTGGTGGCGAGAGTGAGGATGGTGAGTGGTGGTGGTGAGTGTGGTGAGTGTGGTGGTGGTGGTGAGTAGTGGTGGTGGAGAGCGTGGTGGTGTGGTGTGTGGTGAGTGTGGTGGTGAATGGTGGTGAGTGGTGGTGGTGAGTGAGAGTGGTGGTGGTGAGTGAGAGTGGTGGGTGGTGAGTGAGAGTGGTGAGTGAGTGGTGGTGAGTGGTGGTGAGTGAGAGTGGTGAGTGTGGTGAGTGAGTGGTGGTGGTGAGTGGTGGTGGTGGTGAATGGTGGTGGTGGTGAGTGGTGGTGAGTGTGGTGAGTGGTGGTGAGTAGTGAGTGTGGTGAGTAGTGAGTGTGGTGAGTGGTGAGTGTGGTGAGTGGTGAGTGTGGTGAGTGGTGGTGAGTGAGTGGTGGTGGTGAGAGTGGTGGTGGTGAGTGAGAGTGGTGGTGAGTGGTGGTGGTGAGTGAGAGTGGTGGTGAGTGGTGGGGGTGAGTGAGTGGTGGTGACTGTGGTGACTGTGGTGGTGGTGAGTGGTGGTGAGTGAGTGGTGGTGAGTGGTGGTGGTGAGTGGTCAGTGTGGTGACTGTGGTGAGTGGTGGTGTTGAGTGGTGGCGAGTGAGTGATGGTGAGTGGTGGTGGTGAGTGAGTGGTGGTGTTGAGTGGTGGCGAGTGAGTGATGATGGTGAGTGGTGGTGGTGAGTGTGGTGAGTGGTGGTGGTGGTGAGTGGTGGTGGTGGGAGCGTGGTGAGTGTGGTGAGTTGTGGTGGTGAATGGTGGTGAGTGGTGGTGGTGAGTGAGAGTGGTGGTGGTGAGTGAGAGTGGTGAGTGAGGGTGGTGAGTGGTGGTGAGTGAGTGGTGAGTGTGGGATGAGTGGTGGTGGTGAGTGGTGGTGGTGGTGAATGGTGGTGGTGAGTGGTGGTGAGTGAGGGAGAGTGGTGAGTGAGTGAGTGTGGTGAGTGAGTGAGAGTGGTGAGTGAGTGAGAGTGATGAGTGAGAGTGGGATGAGTGAGGTGTGGTGAGTGAGTGTGGTGAGTGAGTGTGGTGAGTGGTGGTGGTGAGTGGTCCGGCAAAACAACCCCCTACCTCCTCGCGGTGCCGGATGGGAAACACTGTCATGGACAGTGCTGTGGGGGGAGGGCCAATGCCCATTGGCCTCTCCCGTTATGGCGTCTGTGACCACCACAGTGGCTAAACGGGGGCTCTGGAGGGTGCGAGGGGCTGGTAACCCCTCCACCTTCAATTAATTACCACGAAACTATGAATTAGACATAAATATGTAACAAATGAGCTTGTGCCGGAGGCCCCGGGGGGATAGGCGTCTATGACGTCTCCTGGCCAAACCCAATTGGCGGAGCACAGGAGATTGAAATCTTCACCCTCGGGGCTCCTCCAGAAACAACGAAAAGCCACTAGTGTGGCCACGTGGAATGTTCGAACGCTCACTGCGGAGGAGAGGCTGCCATCCTCTGTCGGGAGCTGGACCGGTACCGTCCTGGACTCTCTGTGCATTCAGGAGGTCCTGGTGGACCGGCTCTGGCTCCTGCCACCATGAGGGGTGGACAGTCCTCTACCGGGGCAGGAGACTGCCAAACAACAGGGATGTGGCTCTTCTTCTGAACAAAAGAATGAAGGGGGCGTGGGAGCGTGGCGGTGAGGTGTGGAAGCTGTAAGCCCCAGGATACTTTGGGCTCGCCTTCCCATCAACAGAGGCGAGGAGTGGTGGTCGTGGTTACTTATGCCCCCACCGAAGACGAACATCCGTGGAGGGATGCAGGCAAAGCCGATGAGTCAGATGCCTTCTATGACCTCCTGTCACAGGTGCTGGCTAAAGTGGCCACTCGGGACAGAGTCATCTTGTTGGGTGACTTTCAATGCCCGAGTTGGTCACTGATGCTGGCACCTGGTCTGGAGTGATTGGAAGGCATGGGCCAGATCAGCTCAATAAACAACGGTAGGAGGCTGCTAGATTTTTGTGCAGCCCATGGGCTTGTAATTACCAACACGCTCTTCCGGCATCGGCGCATCCACAAAACATCATGGATGCATGCCGGGTCCAAGCAAGAACATCTGCTGGACTATATAGTGACGGACCAGGGGATGCGAGCCATGTCCTTGACACCAGGACCTACCGTGGAGCTGATCTGCCCTCTGACCATCGACTAGTCATCTGTAAGATACGCCTGCCATTCTTCCACTCCGGTGGTGGGTGCACACCCAGGACCCATTCCAACTTAAAGTGGCCTGGTCTCAGCTGATGAAAGTTGCAAGTGAGAATTTCATCATCGTTGCAGCTGGGGTTGGCATAGTCTCCCATCCTCCTGATGTCGAGGGTAAATGGGCGAGGTTTAGGACTGTGACTCATGCAGCTGCAATGGCTGCTGTGGGTACGGGTCCAGACCTCCCCAGAAACCCTGGCTGACAGAGGAGGTGTTCAGGATAGTTGAGAAAAAGCGACAGGCCCACTCTCATCGGCTACATCATCCACGTCAGAGAATGAGGAGGCTTACCGCAGCCTTCGCTCAGAGGTTCGGAGAGCCGTAAGGCGCTGCAAGGATGGGTGGTAGTCGCGGGTTGCTGAGGAGATGGAGTCTGCCTCAGTGGCCCGCGATCACAAATCACTATTTAACTCCATCAAAAAAGTAACCTGCAGCGCCACACCTATTACCATCATTAGGGGAAAAAAACGGTGAACCAATCTCCGACCCCAGGAACAGGTTTGCAGATTTGCTGAGCATTTCTGTGAGGTCCTGGGGGAGGGGAAATCCCTCAGCCAGGAAAACATCATGGCACAAAGTGGGGATAACCCTCCTGAGGCTGCGGTGCCTCGAATTTTGGAAGAAGTCACCCCCTGTGATTGGCTGGCTGAGGTGCCAGTACTGAAGGCGATCCGGAGTCTGAGACCAGGAAAGGCACCGGGCAGAGATGATCTCCCAAGCGAAATGCTGAGGGAGGGTGGCGTTTGTGCACAGACTGCCCTATATGACATCATAACAACAATCTGGACCACTGGACGGGTTCCGCAGGATTGGAAGGATGCTCTGGTGGTCCCCTCTTAAGAAGGGGGACCGCACAGACTGTAACAACTACAGGGGCACAGATGCCATTTTCTGTCCGTCTGCTATAGCAGAGGTGTAGGGAATTCCAACAAGAACTACATCTCTGCTTTAATGACTTGGTCAAGGCCTATGATACCATCAGTAGGCCTGGGCTCTGGGTTGTTCTTCATGCTTTCGGAGTCCCTGACCGTCTGCTCACGATCATTAAAGACCTTCATGATGGTGAGCGGGCCTGGGTAAAACTACGTGGCAGGAGTCAGAGCCTTTCCCGTACACCTTGGGGTGCGACAGGGATGTCCTCTGGCTCCCACATTATTTAACATCTATTTGACCACGTAGTTCGTGAAGCCTTCAATAGCTGTACCGGGGGAATTTCTATTTGGTACAGCGTGAGAGTGTCTACCTCGAGTGTTGTTAACCGGGTGGCTCATGTCGACGCACGGCCCTGCCGCACAGGCTCCGCACCGGCGCTACGCGTCGACCGTCGTGACTCTGGCTGACGGACCGGGTCCCCTCGGCGACGTCGGCCCAACCCCCGACGGGCCTCCGCCACGGATGCCAACCGCGTCTCCGACCCGGACCCGCGGCTACGGAGCCTCGCGAGGAGCCGGGGCAGAGTTGGCGGCGGAGGAGGAGCGGGGCCCGGCAGGGACGGAGGCCGAGCCGTAGGGTCCCCAGGGTCGCCGGAGATCCAGGGGCCGTGGGAGCGGGGGGAAAGGGGGGGGCAGAAGAGGGAGCGGCCCCAGGGAGTGGAGGGAGCGGGGGGAGCGGAGAGAGAGAGAGAGAGAGCGGAGGAGAGAGTGGAGGAGAGAGTGGAGGGAGCGGAGCAGAGAATGGAGAGAGCGGGGGGAGTGAGAGAGTGGAGGGAGGGAGGAGAGAGAGATGGAGAGAGCGGGAGGAGCAGAGGGAGCAGAGGGAGCGGAGGGAGCGGAGGGGCAGAGGGAGCAGAGGGAGCGGAGGGAGCAGAGGGAGCAG